AAGGGGTGACAAAATTGGGGGGGGGGTCCATAACGGGGGGGGCGCCACCGCCACGGCGGGGCGGGGACACCAAACGGCGACAAAGCGGCGGTGACAGCGACACGGGGGGAGGGGACAGCACCGGGGGGCGGCGGCGCCTGAGGGGGGGCGCACCCCCGCCGCCCCCTCCCCTCCCCCACCACCCCCGCCGCCCCTCCCCGCGGGCCCCGCGGGCGCGGCCGCCGCCCCCGCCGCTGCCGGGGCCGTGCCGGGGTGGCGGGGCCGCCGTTCCCGGCGGGGTTGGCCGCAGCGGAGCCCCCCGGGGAACCCCCCCGGTACCTCTCGGCCTCGGGCCCTGCGCGCCTTCGGCCCCTTGTCTCGCCATGGGCCCCGCACATGCGCACGGCGCCGCCGCGCCGCCATCTTGGGCGCGGGCGGAAGTTTCCCCCCTCCTCCGCGCCGGAGCGCCGGCCCGGCTTCGCGCCGCCATCTTGGGGCCGGGCAACGGCCGCCCTCAGGGCCGGGCGCCATCTTAGCGCGCGGGGCCGCGCGCGCGGCGCCATCTTAGACGGCGAAGGCGCTTCCGCCGCTTCCCGCCGCCATCTTGGATGAGGGCGGCGCCATGTTGGAGGAGGGCGGCGCTCGGTGAGGGGAGCGGCGGGGACGTGGCGACAAAGCCGGGCACTCCCGTGGGTGGGACACCCCCGCCCGACCCGCCGGTACCGGAGAGGTTGGGGGGGATGAGCCCGGAGAGGGCGGGGCGCCGCCGTGGTGAGGCCGCTGCGGGCGCCGCCATGTTGAGGCGAAGATGGCGGCGGTGTAAACAAAGGCCGGGGTTTGTGGCGGGGCTCGTGGGCCGCCGGTGTCGCCGTGTCCCCGTGGGCCGGTGCCCCGTGTCCCCGTGTGCCCACGGCCACGCGTCCCCGTGTCCCCATGGCTCCCTGTCCCCGTGTCCCCGTGGCCTCGGTGTCCCCAGATGACCTCAGGCCCCGGTGTCCCCAAATGTCCCCACATGTCCCTGTCCTAGAGTCTCTAAATGACCTCATGTCCCCATGTCCCCAAATGTTCCCATGTCCCCCTTTCCCAATGTCCCAAAATCCCAAATATCTCAAATATCCCAAATATCCCCAATGTCCCCAATGTCCCCATTTCCCAATATCCCAAATAACCCAAATGTCCCCAATGTCCCCATGTCCCCCTTTCCCAAAGTCTCAAAATCCCAAATATCTCAAATATCCCAAATATCCCCAATGTCTCCAATGTCCCCAGTGTCCCCATGTCCCAAAATCCCAAATATCCCAAATATCCCAAATGTCCCTAATGTCCCCATGTCCCCCTTTCCCAATGTCCCAAAATCCCAAATATCCCAAATATCTCAAATATCTTAAATATCCCAAAAATGTCCCAAATGTCCCCAAATGTCCCCAAATATCCAAATTTCCCTTCAAAAAGGCCATTTTTTGGTGTTTGATCTTTGCCATTTTCCCTCCAGGTGCCAGAAAAATCCAATTTTTGGCCTCGTTAAAGGTCAGTTGTTAACTAGATGGCGTTTACATTGTTAAATGTAATTATTTTAAATTATATTTGTGTTATTTCTACGTAGCTATCTAACTATACATGTCCACATTTGAATTTATTATGTGGTTGTATTGTATGATATTTGAACTGTATATTTGCATATATTTGCATATAATAATATTGCATGTAATTAATATCTTAATTAAAAATTATAAAAAAATTTTGTCGTTTTGTGTTGGATTTGGCAACCCAACTCTGAAAAAAACCCCAAAATTTATAAAAAAGTGTAGGATGTAATCAGTACATAAATGATAAAAAATAATTAAATATTTGTATTGTTTAATGAATAATAAAAATTTATATTATTATATGGTGCTACTATGAGTGATAATTACATTATTTTAATAATATGAACTTATACTATGGAATATAAAAACCCGAAATAAATCACTAAAATATGAAACAATATTTTTAAAAAATTCAAAAAACAAAATTAAAAAAGGGAAAGAAAATTTAAAAATAAAATTAACATGAAGAATGAAAAGTAAAATAAAAAAATTTCAACAATAAAACAAAATCGAAAAGGAAAGACAATTTCAAAATAAAAGATAATGAAGAGTAAAAAGTGAAATAAAAAATAAAGATAAAAATAAAGATAAAAATAAATATAAAAATAAAAATAAATATAAATTTAAATATAAAATTAAAATTTAAGATACAAAATTAAATTTAAATATTAAAAAAAAATCTAAAATTTATAAATAAACGCCAACGACCCACCAGCATCTCTCACGCTGGACTTCCCACCTTGTTATTTTTATTATTATCAATTAATTCTCATTTAATCATTATTTATTTGCACTCTGCTCGGGGGGGGCCCTGCCCGCGCTCAGCGCTCGCCCCCCCCGGGGCTGCCAGGGGGTCCCGAGGGGATTTCGGGGGGTCCCGGGGGGATTTGGGGGGGTCCCGAGGGGATTTGGGGGGGTCCCGACGGGATTTGGGGGGTCCTGGGTGGGATTTGGGGGGGCCCAGGGAGGGCGTGGGCGAAGTGGGGTTTGGGGGGCACCACGGGCACGGCCCGGGCCAGCAGCACCCGCGCCCCCAAATTGGGGAGGGGGCAGCGGGA